GAGCCGCGAGGTGCGTGCGTGGGTGGCGGGCGGGGATGCGGCTCGGCCTCCTGGGGGTCCCTGCCGTCGAGGGCTGGGGGCTTCCTCCTGGGGAGTTGCCCGCTGTCGGCGGGTGGGGTGTCACCTCTCCCCAAGTACAGCTTCTCCTTTCCCTCCTCCAGCCGGGGTTCTCCACGCACTCACCCCGACGGGGCCCCTTCCCAGAGGTGCGAGGCGCCCCTCCCGCCTGTCACCTGTGGCTCGGCCCCCTCCCTAGATGTGGGCCCCTTCCTCTTTCCAGATGTGCTGTCCTCTCCCTCCCTCTGACCTAGTTAGGGCCTGGCCCTCTGAAAGCCCTCTCCACCCCCATGGACACCAAACCCCAGTCTTCCCTGGGGGCTGGGGGGTTGGGCTCGGGCTGCCCTCCCCCCATCCAGCTGAGCAGCTCTGTGCACGTAGGCAGCCAATTAGGGGGAGGGGCTGGGGGCCAGACTGGCAGCCCTGCAGAGACCTCTGCAGAGGGCCCTGCAGGGAAGAGAGCCTCCTGTTTGCTCCCTCCCCACCTGGACTCCCACTCAGTTTCTAGGGGACAGACACCTAAGAGGGTGTCCCCAATCTGGCCAGTTTAAGCTGGGGCTGGCACCAGCCCTGAACTGTTCAGATTCTGCCCCAAGAGTCAGGCCTCCTCCCACTTCCCAGATGGTGAATTGGGGTTCCAAGAGAGGGCTCCAATGTCTAGGAACCCCCTGCCCCCTGGGGACATCAGATAGCATTAAAGAGATCAAAGACATGAGAGTGACCTGGAAGCCCTGGGACCCTGGCCACACAGCCAGACCAGTAAAGAGGGTTTCTCAGTCTGGTCCGGAGGTTTGGGGGCCCAGGGTGGCGCAGGGGCAGAACTCACTCTATCCCGCTCCCCCAGATGTTCTCCAGAGCCGCCTGGAGCTTGGTGCTGAGGAACAGAAGACATGGAACACGGGGGAGCCATGGTCCAGGAGGCATTGGTGAGATCTGGCCCCTGCCGCTGGCCTGACCTCAGAGCTGGGGTCTGGTCTGCAGGCGGCCGCCTTCTCCTTTCCTGCCACCCTAGGCCTGCTCCCTCACCACTTCCCATGATCCCACCCCTGGGGCCTGGGCCAAGTTCCTCCAGGAAATGGCACCCACAGGGTGTGCAGACAGTGGCCCTTTCCATCCCAAGTTTCCTTAGGGCCTGACCGCCAAACTCCAGGCCCCTTAACCTCTGTGTCCTGAGGTGAAGCGTGCCAATGGGAGCTTGGACTCTGAATTCTCCTTTCTGGACCCTAGTACTCATGCTAGTCAGAAGAAAGAGATTTCTGCCACATAGCAGAAGGGCCTTCCTGATCCTCAGAGAATAACAAAAATAACATGTATTTTTATTTTATTTTTTAAATGTGTTTTTTTGGTCGGGCACGGTGGCTCAGCCTGTAATCCCAGCATTTTGGGAGACCGAGGCAAGTAGATTGCCTGAGCCTGTGGGTTCAAGACCAGACCAGGCAACTTGGTGAGACCTCGTCTCTACAATAAATCAAAAATTAGCTGGGCATGGTAGCGTGCGCCTGTAGTTCCGGCTACTTGGAAGACTGAGGCAGAAGGATTGCCTGAGCCCAGCAGGTCGATACTGAGGTGGCCAAAATTTTTTGAGTTGGAGTCTCACTCTGTCGCCCAAGCTGTAGGACAGTGCCATGCTCACAGCCCCTGCAGCCTCGACCTGCTGGGCTCAGGCGATCCTTCCACCTCAGTAGCTGGAACTACAGGAGCATTAGCCACCATGCCCAGCTAATTTTTTGTATTTATTACAGAAATGAGGTCTCGCCAAGTTGCCCAGGCTGGTCTCAAACCCCTGAGCTCAGACAATCCTCTCGCCTCGGCCTCCCAAAGGGCTGGGATTACAAGCATGGGCCAGGATTACAGGCATGAGCTACCGCACCCAGCCCTTCCCTTCTTGAGACCTTCTCTAGTGCCCAGCCTTGTTCTGGGCACCCTGCACACCCCAGGAGCCTTGGGGGCCTGGCCATCCGGGAAAACTTCCAAGAGTGGAGGCCTGTAGTCAGAGCAGCCTCTGCCAGCCAGTGTGGGCGTCAGCTGAGGGCTGGGCACTGAGTGCCTTGCATTGAAGCCTCCCACTAGGCTGTGAGGCAGGTTCTCCTGTGATCCTCTTTCCTGAGGCACAGCAAGGCAAAAAGGCTTGGAGCTGGGGCGAAGTGAAACGGGTTTAGAGTCAGCTGACTCCAAAGCCATGCCTTTGGCCTCTCATTCAGGCCCGTCAGAGCCCTGTCCGATTAGAGAGCGTATGTCTGGCATCTCAGGCTCCTGCCACGCAGCCTTTGCCCACCACTGCCTCCGCCTGACGCGTCCTCCTCACCCCAGATCTTCCCAGACAACGTGAGATTTGAAAGCAAACGGGCTGAATCGCAGCTCTGGCCTACTTCTTGCTCCTTAAATCTCAGCAAGTTACTTAGCTAGCTGCTCGGTTTCTTATCTGTAAGGCAGAGGTAAGAGCATCACCTGGCCCAGAGCGATGTGGAGCGAGTCCACTCCTCTGAAGGCTTTAGCATGGCTAGGTGATGGCTCGGTGTAAGCGCTCAGGAAATGCAGCCCTGTTTATTCCTAGGCTACCCAGGGCAGCCGGACTCACACCCTCCCTTGTGCCCACAGCCCGCGGTGAGGGGAAGATGCCTCCCTACACCAACTACTACGCCCAGCGCTCCTACCCCATGCCGGACGAACCCTTCTGCACGGAGCTCAGCGCTGAGCAGCAGGCCCTGAAGGACAAGGAAAAGGGCAGCTGGACCCAGCTGAGCCATGCCGAGAAGGTGGCCTGTAGGTATCAGGACGGGGCTGGCTGGGGTAGCTGTGGAAGGAAGGGCCTGTCAGGGAGCCATGGGTAAGAGAGGTCAGAAACCCCCACTCACCTGATGCACACCTGGCATGAAGTCCATTCCATTGTTTTTTTTTCTTAAGTTGGAGTCTCACTCTGTTGCCCAGGCTGGAGGGCAGTGGCACACTCACCGCCACCGCAGCCTCATCCTGCTGGGCTCAAGTGATCCTTCTGCCTCAGCCTTCCAAGTAGCTGGAACTACAGGCATGTGCCACCATGCCCAGCTAATGTTTTGATTTATTGTAGAGATGAGCTCTGGCCAAGTTGCCCAGACGGGTCTCGAACCCGTGAGCTCAGGCAATCCTCTCACCTCGGCCTCCCAAAATGCTGGGATTATGGGCGTGAGCCACTGCGCCCGGCCTCCCTTGTTCATTCTTGCATTCACTCGAGTATCTGTGCACAGCCTGATGCCAGGCGATGCTGGGCGTGAGGTGACTCACCTTGATGGCTTCTGCTCTCATGGTGCTCCCAATCCAGTGGGAAACCAACACAACTCAGTATTTGCCACGGGACACTTGACTGGGGCATGTTCAAGGGGCTGTGAGACGGAGTCCTAGGGGCCTCCCAGAGGACGACACAGTCCAGCTGGTCTGGAAGGATGAGG